CTCCTGGGAGCGGCCTGGAGGGAGGAACTGTTCCTGCAGGCGTCCTGGCCGCCCACAAGATCATGGCCAGCTCTCCAGACATGGACCTGGCCACGGTCTCCGCCCTCAGGGTAAGTGCTGGGCGACAGGGCCAGTCAGGGGATCTGACATGGGGGGTGGGGGGGACAGCCTGACCCTGGAGGGCCAGGAGTAGTGGCCCCAGGGGGGCACCATGAGACCCTGCTCTGCTCTGGGACTTGGGTGATGTGCAGCGGGTGGAGAGGGGGTGATGGTTGGGAAAGGGGTGCTGGGGGGCCAGACAGAAGGGGCCACAGTGTGGGGCCAGGCCAGACATTTCTGGGGCTGATATAGTTTGGGTTCACTGTAGCTGATTAGACATCCAGACCCAAGGGTGGGCCAGTGCCCAGCTTGGGGCCACCACTCACCCCACAGAGCGGGGGGTGGGAGTGGGGGGGGGCGAGGCTGGGACAGAGAGGAAGGAGAGAGAGACAGAGAGCAACATCAGTGATGAGAAAGAAACATTGATCAGCTGCCTCCTGCACGCCCCACACTGGGGATTGAGCCTGCAACCCGGGCATGTGCCCTGACCAGGATCGAGCCCTGATCTCCTGGTTCACAGGTCGATGCTCAACCGCTGAGCCACGCCGGCCGGGCGCTTCCTCTACTTTGGGGTGGGAGGAGCAGTTGGGGTGTCACAGCCCCTTTCCCTGAGCCCCGGGTCCAGCCATGCCCACACCCCAGCAGCCTCTGTGCTGGTCCACGTGGTGGCTCTCGGCTGAGAGAGATGGTGGGGGTCCGGCCAGCTAAGGGGGCAGGCTGAGCCCGCCCCGGCGTTCCCCACAGAAAATGGGGGTGAACCTGACGCCCCACAACAAGGAGACGGTGCAGCACAGCGACGTGCTCTTCCTGGCAGTCAAGCCGCACATCATCCCCTTCATCCTGGACGAGGTCGGCGCCCACATCGAGAGCCGGCACATCGTCGTGTCCTGCGCAGCCGGCGTCACCATCAGCAGCATCGAGAAGGTGGGGCTGGGCCCCGGGTGTGGAGAGCGGGCGGGAGTGTGTGCAGAGAGGCCAGGCCTCCGGCCCTCAATTTGCCGGGGTTCTCCATCTGTGAAATGGGCGTGTGGGCCCCCGGCCCGCAGTGAGAACTCAGGAAATGCTCAGGTGGATGAGCCCGTTCTCACCCTCACCAGCACCCCCTGCTGGGCCCGGGGCTGGGAGGGACACCCCGCTGGTTTCTCCTACAGAAGCTCAGGGCGTTCCAGCCGGCCCCCAAAGTCATCCGCTGCATGACCAACACGCCGGTGGTGGTGCGGGAGGGGGCCACCGTGTACGCCACGGGCACCCACGCCCAAGTGGAGGACGGACGGCTCCTGGAGCAGCTGCTGGGGAGCGTGGGCTTCTGCGCGGAGGTGGAGGAGGACCTGATCGATGCCGTCACGGGGCTCAGTGGCAGCGGGCCCGCCTACGTGAGGACCGGGTGCAGGCGGGCGGTGGCTGGGGTCTGGCAGGGGGCAGCTGGGGGTGTGGAAGGACCTCCAGGGGCCTTCGTCAGTCCTTCCCCCTCCTCCCTGCTCCCTGCTCCGGTCCTTCCCCTCCTCCCTGCTCTGGCCACTTTGGGCAGAGCTGCTGGACAACCATTGCCCGGAGCAGAATTCACCGGGGGACCCTGGCTTAGGCGCCCTCTCCCCACAGGCGTTCACAGCCCTCGATGCCTTGGCTGACGGGGGCGTGAAGATGGGGCTTCCCAGGCGCCTGGCAGTCCGCCTCGGGGCCCAGGCTCTGCTGGTCAGTATTCTCCCTGACCCTCTGGTGGGGCCACTCCTTGCTGGTCGTGAGGCTAGTGCCCTGGAACGGAGGGGCGGGTCGTCAGCGCGTGCCTCAGTGGCCGGGCCGGGGGCCGTGTCGTGCGGATGTGGGTGGGCGCCCCACAGCCGACATCCTCTCTCGTCTCCCCCACGCAGGGTGCTGCCAAGATGCTGCTGGACTCGGAGCAGCACCCAGGGCAGCTCAAGGACAACGTGTGCTCCCCCGGAGGCGCCACCATCCACGCCCTGCACGTGCTGGAGAGCGGGGGCTTCCGCTCCCTGCTCATCAACGCCGTGGAGGCCTCCTGCATCCGCACCCGGTGGGCCCCGCTGCCCGCCCCCCACTCCCAGCCCGCGCACCGAGCCCTCCCCTCCACCCCGCACCCACAGCCTGCCTCTCTGGGAAGGTCTTGGCCCTGGGCTGCTGGCTCAGCCGCTAACATTCGAGTCTGCTCAGCCCCTCACTCAGCAGATGTGTATCGAGCCCTGGCCTGGTGGTGGGCAGGGCACAGGGAGCCCCGAGGTTCCCTGGGGTGCGGTTTACCGTGCCCTCCCCGTTGTCCTGCCGGGGAGCCTCTGTGGGCTGGTGATAACCCTCCTCCGGGCCTGGCTGGGGAGATTAGCAGGTTAGGCCAGCAGGACCTGGCGCCGGCACCGGGTTGATGAGATCCCGTGACCGCTGACGGGAAGCCGGAGCGGCACGGAGTCGGGAGTCTAGGCTCACAGTCACCGTCCCTGGGCTGTGGGCCTGGCTCCCTCCTCCCTCGTGGACACCTGGGCTTGGAGGAGGCGGGTCCTGGTACTCAACCCCCATCTCTGCCCCTCCAGGGAGCTGCAGTCCATGGCCGACCAGGAGAAGGTCTCGCCCGCTGCCATTAAGAAGACCGTCCTGGACAAGGTGAAGCTGGACTCTCCGGGGGCCGCGCCGGCCGCTTCGGGCCACTCCAAGCTGCTCCCCCGCAGTGTGGCCCCGGCGGGCAAGAAGGACTGAGGGTCCCGCCTGCGCACCGGGCTGCCCTCTGCCTTCCCTCTCCTGGGCTTGGAGCTCCTGCGCTGGGCGTCTCTAGGCCCAGGCCACACAGGGTGTCGTGTCCGCATGGTGGCCTGCCCATGGCTCTGGTCAACTTGGGCCAAGCAGGGTCATAGCTAGGGGGGATACATCACTTCCCAGTGGGAGCCTCCCTGAGCGCTTCCTGGCCCAGGAGAGGGGTGGACTCTCTGAGTGCAACCTCCTCCTTCCTCTGCTCCCAGCTCAGAGGGGTTCAGCTCCCAGTGTCAGCTGTCCTGGGGCTTGGCCCCTTCCTAAGCACAGAGGTCAAGGTTCCCCGTCCAGAAGGCCCAGCCATGGAGAGAGCCCCCTCCCACGCCTGCCACTTCCCCAGCCTCCTCACGCAGGGACACCTCCCTCGGTGTCGGGGGGACCAGCATTCTGACCTCAGAGGAGGGACCTTGGTTCTTGGCCGGCTGCCAGCTGCCCCTTGCTCCCACTTGACACCTGAGAAAAGGGCTCCTCGGGCAGGTGGCTGTCCAGGTTGTCGGAGCACTCAGGCCACTGTCTCCCCCTCCTGGCCTTTTAGGTTCAATAAACTGGTTTCCAGCCCTAACTTCTAACTTTGTCACCACGTGTGGAGGGTTGCCCCAGCTGCGCAGAGCGTCATGGCGACCGGGTGTGATGTAAGAGGCTGAGCCAGTAGCCCATGGCCGAGAGCCCTTGCTCCCCAGGTAGCCCGGCTGTGGGTGGGGGGAGGGAGGCTCCCAGGGAGCAGAGGAAGGGTCAGCCCCTCAGGCCGCCGTCACTAGAAGTATGATGGAAGTTGGTACCATTGGCTGTGGGGGGCGAGGGGGCGGCGGGCGGAGCGGGCCCCAGCTTCTGCATCCTCCATGCCTCCTGACTTAACGGGAGCACGTGTCTCCCCAATTTACCCAGGCAAGGGCAGGTGGGGCAGGTGGCCCTTAGGGAGCTAGCTGCATTAGGGTTTCTCCAGAAAAGCAGAAAAAATAGATGTTAGAACATATATAGAGGTGGTTATAAGGAAGTGGCTAGCAAGTCCACCCTGCAGGGTGGCCGGCAGGCTGGATACCAGACAGCTGACGTGCCACTTCACAGGCCCTCGGGCAGGGAGAGCCCATGTTGCTGGTGAGTCTGAAGGCAGAATTCTCCAGGGCCCGTCAGTCTCTGGCCTTCTATTGCTTGGAGGAGGCCCACCCACATCCCAGAGGGTGATCTGTCCAAGTCTACGACTTAACGTTAATCACGGGCAAAAACACCCTCACAGAAGCAGGCAGTATCTTGGACCAGATATTTGGGCATCCCGGGTCCCAGGCAAGTTGACACATAAAATTAACTCCCAGGGGAGGCCCCCAAGCTGCTGAGGGTCAGAACCCTTAAGGGGTCAGGAGGGCTCACCCTTTGATCACAATAACAAACAGTTACAGAGCATAGAGACAAGAGGAGGCCTGGGCCTGGGGGGGGGGCTGACACCCCCAGACACACACACACACCCCCGCGGAGCGCTCTGTAGGTGGTGCTGTCCCCGGGAGGTGATTAGGGGCGCTGCCAATCGCAGAGCAGCATGCCTGTCCTCTCCAGTTCGCTCCTGCCCCTGGGCCCACTTAGAACCAAGGCCCAGCGCACGTGTGTGGGCGGACGAGGCACTTAGGGGACAAGGGGAGAGAGGAGAAACCAGAAAAACGGAAGAAAATGCACAACAGAAGACGCAAGGAGCATGACTGTGCCCGCTCCCAGTCTGCCAGGGTGGACTCGAGAGGCCTG